CCCTATCCTCAATTTAAATTATTTTTATTGTTTTAAATCAAGTAGAAAAGAAGTTCGTTTGTCTTTTATCTGTGTAATATATTGTGCTCTCAGCATTTAAACCAGAAAACCAGAAAAAGGAAAAATTCAAATATTTGTTTGTTGAATTTCGTTGCTTTTGTTTCACTCTAAGTCAAGAAAAGGAGGAGTCCTCCCGTTTGTTTATTTTTGTATTTCTTTGTTTTTTTCAGTATTTTCAATCAGAAAAAAGAGTAGCTAGTAGATACGTGTATTATTATTGTTTAATTCTGTTGTTTTGTCTCTTGCATCTCCTATGCAGCAGCATGGAGCCCTCGGCGCGTACCCTGGCTTCTCTTGATTCCTTAACAAATTCTCTCAGCATATCTTTAACTAGCGTTGAAGTGTTGAGAGGGGCAGATGTTTCTGCATGTATATCGCTGATCGCCTATGAAGTATAAAAGGCTGTGCAGCTCTTCTTCTTACTAGTTGTTCTGGGGTAGAAGAGAAACACAAGCCTAGCTGTAGAAAGGAGAGAGCAGCTCTGCTTAACAGGACTTGCCGTCTCCGTGCTGCTAAAGGGGGGAGTGAAAAAGAAATAGAAATCCCCCAGGCTGTTCTATTTATTCATTTTTTCATTCATTTGTTTCACTCGAAACAAATATGTATATAATTTCTGTTGAAATATATTACAGCCATTTACAGATACTCTCAGGAGAAAACAGGCAAAACAGGAATGTTAAGAAGAATAAAAACACATACAGGCCTGTGGTGTAACAAAGATACAGTTACTGTTCTTGAGGCTTTTCGCCTGTTTGCTTCTCTCAGCACTTCTGCCTCTCTTGACGGGTCTCTCACTGCTTCTTAGCTAGCAGCCGGGTAGCAGCTGCGCCACCTGTGCCGTGCAGCTGCATATAGAACTCGATACGGCTTTCAGTTGTGTGTACTTGTGTTGAATAGAATAACTCGTGAGAGGCACTTGTGTAAGAGAGATGTTTCAGTTGGCGTTGACGCTTTCTCCGGTTGTGCGGCTCTGGGGGGGCCGTTGTTGCAGCAAAAACTTTCCTAAGACGAAATTAGATATTTTCTTTTCTTTTTGGTTTTCTAGATGCTGTCTCTGCTATTTCTGCTCAATGCAATACTCAACACGCCACTCGAAATTTCTATCAGCAGCTCTAGCTGTAGGCTGCAGCGCGAAAGAGAGTTTACCTGGGGGGACTGAGCGGCGAGTGTCAACGTAAAGAGTTATTGCAGCACTACTTCTACGGTACCTCTATTTTTTTACTGATGATACAACGGTATCAACAGCAAGAGTTGCTGCTCAGCAGCAGCAGCAACAGCTCCTGCTGCAGCTGTTTCTGATGCGGGGGCATGGGCGGCCGTGATCCTGGCAACATAGGTCTATGACCATGTTTGTGGATTGTATAATTAAGTTTTCTTTTATTTATTAGGGTTTTACGCAAAAACAAATGAAGATTAAAGGAGAAAATCAGGTGATCACTGCAGCGT